TTTTTTACCTTTGTAAAATAGTATCAATTTCTCCCGATAAGTGTTGTATACGATCATGTGAAGATGATAATTCTTTATTTATATTATCATTAGCATCTTCACGTTGATGACGTAAATAATTATACTCCTCCTCTAATTTAGCTAAACGTTCTTGTAATTCTTTATAATTATCTTTTTCATGAATTAATAATTTTTGTGTATCACTTAATTCAAATTTCGTTGATTTGATTTGTTCAGACATTTTCATTAAATCATCTTGTCGTGATTGTAATGGTACAAGTTTTCTTGCATTATTTTGTATTTCTTCAATTTTAACTGTATAATAATCTTCCATTTCTTTACGTTGTGCTGAATGTAATGTATCAAAATCACGACGAATATCACGTATAGCTTTTTCTAATTCTTGACGATAAAATAATTGGGTATCAATACCATTTGTTGGTTTCAATTGTTCAAATTCACTACAGAAAAAAAAAGTTAAATTCATATTTTATAAACCCCCCCTCGTATAAAAGACCCGGGCTCTTCTATTATGGTTCCAGAACTTGCAATTTTATGGTGAAAAAACGCCCTAGGGGGGTACGGCGACTTTTGCTCAAAGGGCCCTACTATCTCGGGGGCCTTCTATTGTTGGGGGATTATATAGAGAGGATAAGTCTTACCTAATTAAATGTGCATGCACATCATTAAGAAACGGGATTTCTTCTCGAAGTGTTTGAACTTCTAGATCTAATTTAATTCTATCAAGTGTTGCTTTATAAGATTGTTCATTAAGTTGATTAATTTCTTCAAGATATTCTTCACGTTGTTTAAGTAAAATTTTTAATTGATCATCAACTTGTTTATATGATCGTTGTAAAGCAGTTAATTCTATACATGAATGTTCATATTCTAATTTTAATTGTTCACGTTTTTCTTCTTGTCGATTATTCCATAATGTTTCATCATGTATTAATGAACGATAATTATCAATATCATAATGTGAACGACGTAAACGTGTTTGAATATCAGCTTCAGTAAGCATACTTTCATTAACTTCTTGACGAAGACGATCAAGTGAACCAGAATATTGTGAAACTATTGCTTGTGATGCTGAACCCCATGTTTTAGCTATATCTTCAAGTTGATTTGTTAATTTTGAATTTTTACTTTCAAGTATTTTAACACGATCAAGATAACCACGAAATCGATCATTTAATTCCGATAATTCTTGTTTTTCACGTTGATGTTGTTCACGTAAATTATCAGTAACTTGAATATTTGTTGATTGATTTAATAATGAATAGGATAAATTAGTATTGCTTGTTTCATTTTGAGCATGTCGTTGCATAGGTGAACGATTTCGAGTACCTTTCTCAATTGTTACAGAATGTGTCGATGTTTTCACCGATTCACCAACACCGGACGACATTGGACTATGTATTTTGGCAGATGAAACACTTTTTTTAGGACTCTCTGTTGGTACAATATCAGCTGGTGTATCCGATTGAGGTACTTCCGTTGATGCTGATGTTGACTAAAACAATAAAAAAAGAAATGAATAAAATTAATTTGTAAAAAAAAAAAGAAAGAAATCTCTTGACGAGACGAGACGCCTTAAAAGTTACGTCGACGTTGTTGTTCATCAATGAATAACATATGTTCAAAACGGTAATAGGCTTATAATTGATATTTTTTACCTGTATAGAGTCTGATGAGAAAAGGAAAAGAAAAAACGAGAGAGAGAGAGAGAACGCGAATAGTTTAAATCTCTTCATCATTGCTCAGACAGATTCTTTATAAGCACGCACAATATATGAGAAAGTGACAAAGATATGTTCGAATTGTACTAGTATTATATACATGGCAGCAGCTAGTGGGAATAATTTATGAGAAATGAGCATGCAAAAACCACAAAAAAGAGAGAGAAAATGACACCTGTGTATATAATATCATATTTGATTTCTAATTCAATACTAACACATACATTATTAGAACAACAATACAGATGTAGGGATTCGAAAGTTAAACGTTTGTTGATGTCTATTCTTTTTTTTTTGGTTCTTCTTTCTCTGTACACTAGACATTATTCTGTTTTGTTTTTCTTCTTATCTCTCTAATAATCAGAACTGTTTGTCTCTGATTCTTTTTTCCTCTATCTATCAATCGATGTCTGTTTCTATGTGTCTGATTATTTGACATCATATATCTATCAAATAACCCCTGAAGCACAGGTGATTTACAATGCATGTATAATGGACAAAGACCTTTATTCCATCTTGTACATACGCACATACATATGGAAATAATAATATTAATTATTATTCTAATCAGAAGCAAAATAAAGTTTAAAGAAAAAATAGAAGATGAAAGGGATAGAGATATTGTTTTCTTATTCTTTAATCATTTTGTTTATAATTAGTTTTTTTTTGTTAATCGAAAAAATAAAATCTACCTGATTATGAATATTTTCTTGTCTATTTTGTTCGTTTTCAAGAGTTAAATATATACCCGAAGGGATCGATGACAAAGAACTGTTGTTTATTGCATTTATATCAAGATGATGATGATCATCATCATGTGCCATTGTTTTTCTTTTTTCGTACAATATAATGTTCAAGAAAGAAATATGAGAAGTTTGTTATTGTGCTATTTTGATTTCAATGAATAATTGAAATAAAAGAAAAGAAATTTCTCTATTTCTCTTATAATAATCAAAAATGCGTGGCAACAACAACTTACAATGTTCATATGCTTATATTGCTTCTCTTTTCTTTCATCAACATCATCATCATCACTTCACCTACTCATATTTTCAAGGACAGACATCATACGAATGACATCGAAAGAAATCTATCAATAAAATAGTTGCCTATTTATTAACAGAAGATCGTCAGCTGGATTGTATATATTTATTTCTACTAGCTAGAGACTCTATTTTTTCTTCTTATGTTAATCATATTCCCATACGCATATACTTAAGAAACATTATTATGGTTGCTTTAACTACCATATTTTAATAATAATAATAACCACTTACATACAAGAAATATCTATGAAACAAAAAATATGGTCTACCTGGATAATGTTTTTTGTCATTGTACATCTGTAATATGTAGTAAAAAACAAAAGACAAAGCTTGTCTTGTTCGTTCGACGACTAATTGAATGAAATCTATTTGATTTAGTGTTACCTAGACGTACATGGTTGGTCTGTCTGTCTGTTCATTTTACTACTACTAATAGATGATCCTTATGACAACACCTATACTTTACATTTATCCACCCATCATTTTTTTGCTCCCTATCTTTCTCATTAAATTCAATCGTTTGGAATAAATTTTCTGTCAACTTTGATTTGTTCTATTGAAAAGATGGGAAGGTGAATAGACGAGACAAAAAATTATGCATAAATTTTAGTAATACTTCACCTATCGTCTTTATCAATACAAAAATGGTATCATTAGTACTTTAATTGAAAAAAATATATCTCTTAGTATTTGTTTTCTTTTTAAACACATTGTCAAGGTAAAGTTCTCTGGGTTTTTTTTATATACTACTGTGTTTTATATTACACTCTTTATGCATGTCAATAAAAGAAAAATAAAGAAGATGGAGTGCTGAAAATTGCGGTTATTAGATAGAAGTACAAAAGCATATTACATAAACGTACGGAAGAAAATGTCATTTAATTATTTTTATTATTTGACAAAAAAAAGCTATTAACCACACGTTTTTTTTTTCGATATTTGAACAATTCAAGGTTGATATTCTTTTATTTTTTAAGTGTACATCTCTTTTCTATTTGTTCAGATGTGTGTAAAATCAAAGATAAACATAAGATTATGTTTAGAATTCGTAAAATATTCAAGTACATACTCACTATCTGAGAAGTAAACATCTGATTTTGGCATTTGCTAGAATCATACACTAGATAAACAAAAAGCTACACTGATTTTAATAAGTATATATTTCTTTTCTTTTTCCTTTTCAATCTATTGTTGCTACCTGGCAATGAATGATAGCAACAACCTCAAGCTGGAAGTTAATTACAATAGAGAGAGAAGAGAAGAGAAGAGAAGAGAAAGAAAAACGAAAGTATTGTATTATTTTTACAAGGTTATTTAAAAAATAAATAGAACTGGCTATTCAATTCTATATTATTAAAAACTCACTGTTGATGACGCCATACTTGTGCTTCTTCTTATAAAGCTCAAATTTCAAAATAACAGTCGTATCACAATGATGCTTATAACAATGTCAGCTTTTTTTTTGTATTCATATGCATAGTTATATATGTCACCATCATATAAAATAAAAGACCTTCTCGCTCGTTTTTTTTTTCTTCTTTATGCTCATCCCACAATGATCAGTATCATTGTCTCATACGGTTATAGGTCTCTGTTCAATTTTCATATTGGCCTTCGAATCAAGCAATTCATCATGCTCATTCATATATGTATATATATACATATATATATATATATATGCATAGATATAGATAGAGAATCATATCCTATCATATCGCATTAAACAGGTCTTCGTCACCAATGAATTTCATATTCTAATCAGTCAAGAGTGACATTCGCTAACACCTCCTTGTATCATTTATCATTATATATCGAAAAGATGTGTTTGTAATCAATGATATTTTTTCAATGTAAAAGTAAATTATTTTGAGCTTTTGAGACGTCTATATGTCCTCTAACTATGATCGACTTTCTTTTTTTTCTCTACACATCAGTGCACTGTATACTAAAGTCCAATTTTCTCGGTCACTACATATCATCATCGTACGCCCCATTCATTTCTATCCCACTTGTCTAGTGCTTAAAGCAAATATTTCGATTTTGAAATAATAAGTTCTTTCATATTTAATATAGAAAGCGAATAGTGTATTGTCGTTCATCACATATCAAAAATATTTTTACGTAATAAAACATTATTATCATTCTCGAGTAGTATAACTATCGTGATCATGTACACGCTAAATGACATGTACAGAGCATCATCATCATCATCATCATGATCAATACGTTCATCATAAATCTCATTAAAACACAACAATGCGCATAGAACTTGAAAGAAGAATTATAGAATAAATATATATGTATATGACTAACGAAAGAGGAGGGAATAAAAATTATATCCCAGGAGTCTGTATATTGACTTAAGTCGGCTATATCGTGTATAAAGAAACAAATTATTGTATTGATTAGGTCCTATGAACAAGAAGACAAAAAAAACAACAATGGAAACCTTTTCTTTTGTGTATACAATAGAAAATGAAGACATTGAAATTTTAATTAACAAAGATTGATGATTAAGAAAATGATATGATAAATCAAATTCAATCCCTATACTAAAAGATTAATATTTCGACTTATTTCTTTTTCTCAATAGTAGAAAAACGGCAAATTGAAGACCACTTATATATAGGTTTTGTACCCTAAAGAAATAATACATTTCGCGCCTGTGGTATATCAATTGAGATAAAACAACACGTCAATCATTTATCATCATAAGCGAAGCAAACCATTCGTATATCGAAGATATAGAACTCATTCAAGCTGAACTAAATAGAAGTTCACTCATTCATTCATATAAATATACAAGAAAAGATCAAAAGAAGAATCAATATAAAAACTGTTCTATATCAGATCAATATGAATAGAGAAAAAACAAATGAGCCGCATGTAATTTTTTTATCACTAACATAACTTACATTTTCCGATTGAATAGGAGGTTGGTGAGAAGTAGTCGTAGTAGAAGTAGGCGGCTGTGGCGGCGGAGGAGGAGGAGGAGTATTTAACTGTGGTACAACGATTGGTTGTTCAATATCATTCGCTTGAAATGTATCTATTAATTTTGATACAGTTGATGAAGTATTATTTTCTTCAGTATTATTTGGAATTTGTATTTCAAGTGGTTTAAATGTTGTAACTAAATAATAAATAGAAAAATAAAATAATTCAAAAATTTGTTATTTATTACCATTATCTTTTTTATTCTTTTTTCCATTTAATTGTTGTTCATCGATATTCATAAAATCATCTGGTATTGATGTTGGTTTATCAATTTTAAGTAAATTTTGTATTTGTTTTTTTAATGAAGTTTTTTTTGATTTATTTTTCGATGATTTCGTTTCATTGATTGATTGACTATCAAAATTTTCAACAGATGTTGGAGATATTTGTTTATGATCACCCATTGAAAAACTTGATGATATTGTATTCGATTTCTTTTTATTTCCATTTTTTGCTACAGCTTCAAAAACTTTAACACGATCAGTAACACGTTTTTCTTCTGGTACAATAACACCACTTGTTGGACTTAAATCACGTTGATGTTGAGAATTATCTGTTTGCATAACTGCTGATGATGTACCACTTGTTGAACTTAATTCATCATCACCACCACTAACATGAGGTTTTTCTGTTTCTGTTTGTGTTATTTCTGATGATACACCACTGTCAACACCACCATGATCAAGATGAAATGGTGTTGATTCATCATGTCCATTTTTAACTTGAAAAGTTTTTGATGGTGAATGATTACCATTTGGTTGATTGTTTATGTCAATAGGTGGTTGTTGTTGTATAACTAATGTATCAGCATGATTTATTTCATCAGACATATTTGCTGGTGTAGTACTTGTAAGACCAGTTACTAAAGCACCGAGTGTAACAAATGATTGTGTTTGTGATGGTTGCTTAGATATATGATTATTGTTCTGATTTTTATTATTTGCCGAACGACGTTCACGTTTGGTATTTACCTTGAAATGAAATCAATCCTTTTCTTTTTGTTCAAGAAAAAAAAAATAAGTTGAAATTCTCTTCTATATTTTTTTTTTCGAGCTGCTTATATTTCTTACTTGATGGCCACTTACTTCTATTTCATCAATTATGCACACTGACCATATATCGTCGATTTCTTCTTATTCTCTTTCTTCTTCTTCTTCTTCTATGTCCTCGAGAGACAGAGAGAGGGAGAGAGAGAGAACGTTCTTTTTATTCTTGATAGATGAAATGTTTCATCTAATCGTATGAAAGACAATGTCAGCGAGAGACACAGAGAGAGAGAGAAATAGAGAATGGTTCAAATGCGAAAAATCATTCGTCTTTTTTTTTCCCTTTTATACATTAGTATACAGATGATTTTGATTATTGAAGACAAATTTTGCTACTTCTCATTTATTTGATTATCATGAGAAGCGAAATCTTATTTACATTGATCTATTGTATAAGCATGATATATAGTTAAACAAGAAATCATTCTTTTCTTCTTAAGTCAATGTGTGATATGTCTAAGACAACTACTAATAATAGACGAGACTGACCCTCCTCTCTATCACAACGTTTATTTACGGATAAATAAAATCTACATAAATAAAAATACAAAATTCGAAATGACTTACGACTTTGCTCTTGTGCATGATGCCTGGTATTTCAATCCTTTTGTTTCTTTTAGCTTGTTATGCCTGTTGGTGTTGAATTGAAAAATAAAAAGAGAAGAAAAAAATGTGGTATATATGTATATGTATATGTATTATACGTGCAACTTTGTACCCTTCCTCCCACTCTCACTCTCACTCATCTACCGATAGGGATATGCGACGTGACAAATGGTCAAGAATTTAGTCAACAGAAAGTGTATATGTATATGTATATGTGTATATATTTAAAAGAAAGAAGAGAAAGAAATACGATCGATATAAAAAAAAAACTACGAACGAAGGAATTAAATCTAAATCTTCAACTACCAGGGCAACAATAAATATATATATATATATACATACGAGTTCAATTATGTTGTTACTCTGTTCTTGCTATGTGTCTACCCTATCACACATCAATGAACAGCAAGAAAGAAAAAGAAGAAGAAGCTTAATGATAGAAGATATTTATTAACGGATGTACATACTATTTTTCTTCTTAACTCAATATGTATTTTTCTCTCTCTTTCCTATTCTCCATCATTTTGAGCAAAACAATCGATGAATGAACAGATATAATTTTTTTCTTGTTATCTGTCTAATGTATCGAAATAATCTAAATAACTCGATGTTAGAGTAGAAAATCAAATAAATAAAGATATTATCTTTAACGAAATTTTTAACTTATCATAGGGAATAATCAAATGATTTCTTATTATAAAATCTATGAAATCGATCTCATCTATATATATAGAGAGAGGTGTAAGATATTATAAGCATTTGTCTGTAGAAATATGTTCGTAGACATAGCTTACTGTGAGATGTGAGAACATGTTCTGTTCTATACTTAATCAGCAAACATTGTTTTATTGACAACAACATAAATATCAACTTTGTTCTCCGGTTCAATTTTCTTCGATAATGAATGGCGTTTATTCTCTCTTCTTATTTGACTACTAACCGGCGGTCAACAATTAGCTTGTTTCTTGCGTCGTCGTCGTTGTCTTTAATTGACTATATGCGATCATCAATCTTCATCTCCTTTTTGTTCTATATTTGTATGAATCATCCGTTTCTCTGGACAAGAGAGGAAGCCATTCTTCAAGAAAAAGAGAAAGAGAGAACAGAAAGGAAACTAGGAACGTAATTTTTTCATCATCTATAAATTCTTCTTTGTTTGATTCTTTTTTGTTGTAGCTTAAGTACTATGACGTGTTCATTACCGATAGCATTTTTTCATTCACACTTCATATTAAAAGTGTCTTTCTTTCAATCTATTGTTATTATTTCAACTTTTTTTGTTTATCTTTACCTTCATATACTCTCTTGAGGATGTAGATCTTCTACATCTGCATAATACAAAGCATAATTTCAATGTTCAAAAAAAAAAAAAGAAAACGAAAAATTTGTTTCAATGATGATTTACGATCGAAGTTTATTTTGTCATAGAATATGTATTTAATGAAATCTACTATTTTAATTAAAAAGATCATATTTACAACTGATTTCATGTAATACGATGTATCAATCTTTTTTTTACTCAAAGATTTAAAATATTAAATCATTCGATCCAACAGGATATTTCTATGTCACGCGTCAGTCATATATTGATTTAACAAACTAAATCATAGGTTATCATTCACATTGGCTCAATATGTTTCTTATCAAGGATTAGTAATGAATCCATAAGAATTGTGCTTACAATAATAATTGAAAAAGTTTGAAAACAATTTTCTAATTATGACCTTCGCATACATCTATGAAATACATATATCAAAAGTAAATTCAAATAGTATTTTAATAATATAAATATCCAAAGAATAACAAACTATAAGTAATTGAGTTTAACAACTTACGCGTACAAATATAAAATTTTTTTTTCTCCTTTATTATTATTGTTTATGTAATAGAAAGCGCTTGCCATGAATCTTTTACTGTATTATATCCAATCATTTGTTTATAATACTATCAAACTAATGCAAGATATTGAAAAATCAAAACATATAAGATTAATAAAGTTGATAAACGTAAAACTCATGTTTTTTTTTCTTATAGGGAAATTATATAATCGCATTGTGTTTTTTTTTCTCCAAAAGAAAAACAAAATATACACACTATAATCTATTGATAAATGACAGGAAATAGGACAAACGAGAAAAAAAAGGATGAAAAAGAAGTGTGTTTATCATTCGGACATCGTTCAACTACAGAATGGACGATATTCGATAGGTATTTCTTCTGGTCGTCGAACTATATAGAAAAAAATAAAATAATTTTAATAGCTAATAAATTATTTTTCATAACAAACCCATAAGACGCCGTTTGTAGACATTAAATTGATAAGCATTTGCTTTATAAAGTTCTTTACTTGCAATAACGACGATGACTAGAAAAATATTAATTATTCTTAATATTTCTTTCTTTCTCGATTAACACAACTTACAAAAAGCTGCAAACGGAATACCCAAAACGACATGTGGAATATGTTCCATTGCATAATTAAGAGATGACCGGCCCTGTTATATAAATAAATTACACGAGCAGATATATAAATGTAATATCTTACTTGTGCAACCCATGGTTGCCAAATTTGTTTACGATGCATTAATACAACACGATTATATAGACGCATGATTAAAAAGAAAAACTAAAGTTAATCTGAAATAAAAGCAACATGCATAAAATATAATATTTTTGAAAGATTTTTTCTTATAAATAAAAATATAAATTTTGTTTTTTATTTAATTTTAATTTTTTCTATAACTGGCAATCAATTTGGTAGGTACCAATACGCCCAACACCTACAATTAATATAGAATTTTTATAGACATGAACAGTTGCAAATGAATTCGTATTTGGTTCACATTCAACTATAGCATGTAATGTTAAATGATGTATATTTTTTCTATCACGGAAATAGCCACCATCATGATCATGACCAGCTATATAAGCAAGAACAGTACCCTCAAATGTCCATAAAAGATCTAATACTTCTTTATAATTCCATAAGAGATCAAGAGCATCACATGCACTTGGATGAATTGGAATATGACCTAAAAAAAGAGAATTTCATTCTTTTATTTCAATTTATTCATACGATGAAGATAAACTTATCGTTCTTGACCTGCACAGATCTCTGGATGTGATCATAGCACATGACTTGGATAAGAACTCAAGCGATAGAATAAGGGGTTTCAAGTTTTTTCTGAAGATGGCTCGGCTAAGGATGTACTTTTACTTTCAATTATATATAAAAAATCAATTGTGACTTATCTTAGCTTCTATCATACGAACACATCAATTGTGCGAATTTATTGTTCAATGTTTCCCATCCTCTTAGATTTTTTCAATCAATACATCTTTTCCCTATGTAATTAAGATGGTTATCTGTAATCTTGTTCGATGTTGATTACGATCATGATATATATGTGTTAAACAATTATTAGTATAAGAGAAATATTTGAGCAAAACTATAGTGACAGCGTTATATTTTAGTATATGTGGGAAACTATATGAGTTGATCTCTCTCTCTCGCTATATATATATCATAGCGTGAGTATAATAGATTATCTACTTTTGACAAGTAAATAAAAAAGTGATTCAATAAACTATTAGATTAAATCAAACATTTTATTTCTACTTGTATCTATTACAAAATTATCATATCATGCAACCTAATAATTAAAAGCAAATTTTTTTCTTATTTTAACTAAAATATCTCAAAAGATAATTATTCTGTATTATTAAACTTTACTTTTTTCGATATATCATGAAAAATTACCTGTAATAATAACTTTAATATTTTGATTTTTTGCATCAGTTAATTGTTCTTTTAACCAATTAAATTGTTTTGGTGATATTCCACCATTAAATTGAACAAATCTTCGTTGATGTCCACGTAAACCGGTTGGATCATTACTATCTTCATTTTGATTATGTTTACATAATAATTCCATTGCTTGAATATATACTTCACTATCTTTTTCTACACCTAATGCACTGAATTCATAAGTATCCAATGCAATTATTCTTAAATTGGGACATACTTCAATTATTCCATAATGTCCTGGTGAATTTATTTTTGTATCAAATGAACATAATGATCCATTTAATAATTCTCGTCGAGAAAAATTATACAATTCATGATTACCCCATATATGATAAATAGGTAAAGATTGAAAATTTGTTTTAAATACTTGTAAAACTGTATTTAAATCATTAACGGATGCTTTATTTGTAAAACTAATACCGTCAATAATATCACCAAGTTGAAGTATAAATGATATTGGATATTTTTTATTTAACCAATATTTACAAGCTTCATCAACTAATTTTATCGAATTTCTATAACGTCTTAATTGTGTTTTTGTAAAATTGTATCGATCTTCATTATCGGCATATTGAATGTCAGCTATTAAACCAAAAGATACGATTGGTTTGATGTCATCATTTGAATTATATAGTATTCCATTTATATCCGAATCTGCTAACGTTGATCGTGTTGGAGGACTAGTTGATGATTCATCTTCAATGATGGCTATATTCGACATCTAAAAGAATCAAACATATGTATCAGGCATGCAAACTTTTTTTGTTTTAGTTTTATTGTTTTTAAAGAAAAAAAAAATACAAGTAACTATATCAGTATGAAAAAAAAAATGTATGTAAGCATAAATGTACAGCTTGAAAAAAAATGCTCTTTGTGTTTGATTTTGGTTGTATAAGTTGATTGATAAATGATGTGTATGTATATGTATCAGTTTCGTATTATACAGGAACAAGAAGAAAAGTTAAGAGAGAGAGAGATTCTATAAATGATGGTACACGCTTACTTAACTAAAAAAAAGAACACTCTTTTTATTGTCTTGAGTTTTTGTTTTGTATAACGGAAGATTAGTGTAAAAAAACGTAAGAAAGAAAGAAAAAAAAATGAAAAAGTAGTTTCACATAAATGGATTGCTTGAGTTGATTGATGCTGTGTTTGTATTCAAAGTTGAAGGAATGAGCGGTGGTGGTAATGTTGAGCCAGTTGTAAAACCAACATTAGTTGATGAACTTAGTTGATCAAGTGTTGGTGGTTTGATTGTATTGGCAAATGGATTTGGTGCACGTGGCGCTGTTGAACCAAATGGATTTGTACCTTAAAATATAGAAATAAATATCCGAGTTATAAAAAAATAAAATCTTTCTTACTTTTTGTATCTGTAATAAGTTTATCAAGATTAACTAAATTACTAAAATTGTCCCCAAGAAAACTTTCAGGAGTTTTACGAGATGCAGATAAAGCAGATGGAAGTGGACTTGGATTATTTGAATTTGAATTTGTTCCACCAATAACTGTTGGATAAAGTATATTTCCACCTGTAGTTAAACCAGTATTAGGTGGAGAAATAGAACCTGTAGTTTTATGATTATTTAAAGTTGATGGAAATGTTGATGATGGCATATTCCATGGATTTGATGATGCTTGTTGTTGAGAATTTGATCCTGTTGAAATTGCTATAACAGGCAAAATAATATCAATTTATATTTTAAGAAGGTTAAACAAATTGCGAAACACTTTTCATTAGTTGGATGTAATGGGTAAAAAATGTAGATAAAAAATCACAACTTGAATCATATCTGCGATGAAGAAATCGCGAATTTTTTTAGCTTGAGCAAATAATATTAACTACATGAGCAGAGTATTTCTTACTATGATTTTGATTCTAGATTGATATGGATAAAAGAGAGTGAGACTTTCTAATATAGCTAAAAATGTTTTATATAGTTGAAAAAGAGACGATTTTGTTTGTGTATTATGAGCGAAAACTTACTTGCGTTTGCTCCAAAAAATTCACTTAATTCACTATCAATTGCTTTATTAGTTGTTGTTGGAGGTGAAGTTGTTGATGATAATGCTGGTTTTTGGGAATGGTTTGAATTAAGGCCCCATGGATCAGCAATATTTACGGATAGACCTGTACCATTACTAGTATGCCCATGATGATTTTCACCCCATGGATTCGGTTGTGTCTCTGATGATGATGCACCTGTTTGCCAAGGGTCATTGAGTGCAGAACTACGACCATTTGTTTCTGGTGCCCATGGATCATCTATATTAAGAAAAAAAATGATCAATCATATAATTTTATCTATGAAAGAAGAATGTGTAAATATACTTGAAGAAGTTGTAAAACCGAGATGAGTTGATGGACGCGCATTCGGTGGATTCCAACCAATATTAGATGTTGTTGGTGGTAAATATGGATCATTATGATGATTTGAATCAAATATATTTGAATTTGTATTGAAATCAAAACCCTAAAAGAAAATTTATGTTTTAAAAGATATGAGAAAAGAATTGAGTTACTTGAGAATTAACTGCATCTGGTGATGCTTCATTAACTGATCGTTCTAATGCTATTTTAAGTTTTAAATCATCATTACGACGACGACGTTCCTCATCTTCCGCCTAAAAAATAATAACAAAACAAAGAATTTCGAAAATATATTCTTATTTAAACATACGTCACGTTGTGATTCTGCAAGAGCAATTTGCATCTGTAATTGTTCTTCTTCTTGATTAGTTGGTTGAACGAAATCTTTCGTTGTTGCTTGATGAAGATTTTCATTAAATGATGATGAACGATGTGTAGTAGCATTTGGATACGGATATGACATTGCACCAAAACTATCTCCACCTTCTGCACTATTACGTCGAACTGATGTTGCAGTTGTTGGACGGCCATATGTAACAGCACCAGTTGAATCCATTCCCATAGCTTGTCGTGAATAACGTTCACGTGCTTCTTGAGCTTTTCGACGTTCATTACGTAAACGTTCATCATCTTTAAGTAATGCAACTAATTGTTTTGCTTTTTCACGTACATTATAACCTTGATCTTTTTGATCTTCGACATATTGAAAATCTTTTAATGTTTGAATAGCAAAAATATTTTCTTTACATTGTTGACTAACACGTTCATTTCCATATTTTATTAAATGATCATGGTAAAAATTGGCGTCATGTTTATAAATCATTAGT